AACGCAGCGCACGCCCGCATGCACCAACGCCCCACGCGACGCATCCCGCGCGCCACCGACAGCGCCGCCGCCCGCCCCGCTAACGCGAACGGCTACAGCAACGCACGCCCACTACTTCCGCACAGGCACGGCACGCAGCACGACGCACGCACGCACACAGCATCATTTCATAATCCATTCTTTTGCCCGTCGACAACCCCAGAGACGTGCGCGGATTCACAGTTACTATAAACACCGACATCTGCGCATTCAGCGTCATGTACGCGGACGCGACGCAGCGCCGCGCTGGCATCGCACGCGTCGCTGTGTCGCGGGCACCCCGATGTGTTCGCGCATTGCGCTTACCGCGAAGCACTTCGTGCTCAAACTCCTCGCAGTAGCAGGTGTCCTGGTTAGAGGCGCCTCCAGCACCTGGTCCGCCACGTCGGCGGCACCAACATGATCTGATGAGAGCGGTCGCACAAATCTGCACACAGAAAACAACGAAGACGCAACATTTGTCATCCAGCAGCCTCCAAGCAACCTCCACACCAGCCAGGGTTTGTTCAAGGCATGCCTTTTACTTATAAGGCAACATTTACTAAATAATTTAGCTTACTTAATAAGATACTTTCACTATAATTACTAATAACTTACTTACTTAATAAGTACTTTTACTATTACTTACTTAATAATACTTTTAGCTATTATTTACTAAGTTAACTTACTTACTTAAATAAATACTTTTTACAATTTTAACTTAATAAACGATGCGGTAAAAAACACGTGTTAAGTTATGCATGCATAACACGCCACGAACGCGTATTAAAAATTTATACAAAAATGGAGATGCTCGCCATGGTATAAGATCCAGTTAGGAATAAGATTATATAGTATGATATAATATATACTGTATAGCATATATAATGATAAAGATATGTAATAAAGTTCTAATGTCTAGTGAGTAATGTAGTCAGGCTGTGGCAGCTGTAAACACAGCGTTACCGTGTCCCGTGTGAAGTGTCAAGCCGCACATCCTTGCGCGCTCTGTCTGCATGAAGGTCTGCCATCGCAGTCTTGGTAAGCTTCAGCAGCGAGGAGACCATCATCCTCCCCACCGTTAACACTAGCACCTCTTCCACGTTGCCTCGCGCCTTCAGACCCTGAACGACGTGAAGCAACTCGAATCAGAAAGTATCGGCATGGTGACTAGACCCGACTGGACGAATATATGCAGTCTCGATTTTTTACGATGATTAGTCCTGCATACTTGTACACTGCACACATGAAATGTGACACCACTAAAGTAGTAACTTCTTCTTCTCTCTTTTCTATCTCTACAAACTGCTGAAAAGTCGCAGGGCAGAACTGTTCACGTTGCACACGACAACGAAATGCGTACACAACCTGAATATGTACTTCTTTTACAAAGCACATACTAGCACACAAGTACTTACAATTAGCATGTACATACACAGTTATAGTACATACTATTACACAACGTAGTCTGCTACTTTGCTTGCTTCTTGTCTCCTTAACTTACTACTACTCTTAAAAAAGTTCTAATCTCCAGTTTCCCAATTTTTCCAGCCGTTATTCGACACAACTAACCGCAGCCCGTCGAAAGAAACAGAACCGACTGTCACCTTGCCGAAACGGCTTACGCGGCTCGCCCTCTGGCGACAGCATTGCGAGTATGTCGTTTCGTGTATTTGCGTCGTCAATGCTGAGGCGAGAGTCTCCAGGCTGGGAGATGGCGTCGAAAGCATTGCGGCAGGTGCGGCTGCAAGCGCGAGAGGGTGCTTCGCGTACTGAGAGAGGATCTCCAGCAACATCAATGTTAGAGAGGAAGTAGAATCTAGGAAGGGAGGTGTGATGGAAGGGAGGGATGTACACAGACTGGAGAAAACCTGTGAGTGCGATGTCTTGCCCGCGCTCTTGTACCCTGTCCAGTCTGACACAAATGCTCTTATGTCTTATTATTTATTATGTATATATCAATGTAGCCTAACTCTGGGTGATACTCCATGTAGGAGTGTTCCCAACTTTAATCTCATTAATTGGTCATAATAACATATATTATATATATGGTCAATGGTCATCATATTAGTTGTGGTTAATTGTCATTTAGGTTAGGGTTAGGGTAGTTAGGGTCTAGGGATGTATATCATCATTAATCATTAAAATTAATCATTAATGATATCAAAAGTTGGGACACTCCTAATGGAGGCGTTGCCTAATATCTTGCAACTCGTTGTTGACAGTAATAGAACCTGGAAGGGAGGTGAATGAAAAGGTGGGATGTATGCACGTGGTGAACGCGCGAATCCCTAACTGTAGCCATCTCTTGGCCTCCTCTTTGCTACTATATCCTACGTCACCTCATGATCTATTTTCCAATCTACAGAAAAAAATCCAAAGCATGGGCAGATGACTGATGTTTTAACACAAAGAACCTACATGCGCAGCTCTCACCTCTGCTTGTTAGCCTTATGTCCTACTACCTTCTTTCATCGCTGAGCCTTCCTTCCGATCTATCAGAATGAATAACCTCTAGACAGCGACAGACGATGATATAACAACATGACGGAAACCTACACGCGCACAGCTACCAGACATCTCTGCTAGCTGCATTATATCTAACACAGCCTAATATATCTACCTACCAGCAATTTAATCGCACATTGTAAGTGAATTGCACGCGTATACCTTAAGAGTGGGCTGCGATAACAAATGGACAGTTATTCGCCAACCTTGATGCCAGGTTTTTGGAATACCAACTTTTCGAGACAATTAGTGGTGAGTATAACGTACATATGTCGATGGATTTGTACTGGGAAACACTGTCTCGTTTGTATTCCAGATAGTCTTCTAAGACATTTCTGTACTCTGGTCGAGCAAGGATGCTTGCTATAGTTTTTGAATCGTGTCCGTAGTCCTAGGCTGTGTGGCTGCTCTCATTGCAAGTGGAGCCTTGGACAACCAAAAAGCAAACACCTACATTAGATTATGGCGTAATACATATACAAATATTATATTAATCCAATACAGATAAGGTACAGATTTAGGTATGGCAACTGGCTACTTGCATACTCTTGGGTACCAGAGTGCAGCATCTTTAATTGGCTTTATTTATCATTTCCTGATAGGACTGAGTACGAGAATGTTCCAGACATCTATTGACCAGCAGTAAAATGGGTCTAATAATTCGTTATGCATGACTCTCGGTATTTCATGATTGGGTTACATGAAACAGCTGAAAACAACTGAGGATGTAATGGGCTTGTCTTGATGATCGTACAACACTAATAAATCCTAACACACACTCATGCATGCACGCACGCATGCACACAGACAGCAACGCGTGCGACGTGCACTACAACACCGTACCTGTTAACCCTGCGCATTATCTCCTTCCATGACTTATCAACCTGAGCGAACATCTTGGCTTCATTTGGCAGCTGTCGTTGGATGTCGGGTGCACTGAATATGCTCTCCAGGTACAGCCAGTTGCGTTGGCAATTAAGCCACTCGTCCTAGTTACACACCAACGGATGAACGCATTCAAGGGAACGAAACTACGAATCATGATCACGCTACCAGAACGATAAATTCTTTTTCAAGGCTGCTTCCCCAATTTCCAAGTTGAATAACCTAACAATACATTATTACTTCTCGAATTTTACAATTTGAATATATTTACGAGAAAAAGATTACAAAAAAAACCTGTAAAACTAAAAATACTACGCCTTTCAAATTTAATTCATCACAACACCCATCGATCAATGCTGAACTAAGCCCTATGACTAAAGCCCCCCTCTATCTGACCTACCGTAACACGCTCACCAGAGTGAGACCGAAGATCTGCAGCTGCTGAGGCCAGTCGTCGAGCGGCGTCAACTTGATGGGTGCCGACGTGCGGGAGCATGGACGATCGTTCTTCGCAATCACATACCTTCTTCAGTATGGCTTCGAGGCTGGCCTCCGAGCTCGCCTCACCGGACACCTGCTGTATGGCTTCAGTGTGCTGGAAGGCATCTATCTCGGTGAGCCGATGTAAGGTGAGAGGATCCTCGGGAGTGAAGTGCACGTCCAGGATGCTCTCGATCGCTTCCCAGTGACGGGGCTTCAGAGACGGGTTGCGAATGTCCGCGATCATCGGCAACTGCAATGCAAGCGAGCGCGAAACGCAAAGGAGACTACCGGTGTAGACTACAGCCGGCGACGAGGCACCGAGAGTTGTACCTTTAGTCCCCCGGCAGTCCGTCAGTTCCCCCGACGTCGCGCATGTGCGCAAATGAGCAAGAAATGCAGAGGAAACCGTTGTGTATGTTAGCTTTTAACACAGACACAAACATAGCGGGTCAAACACCATGAATGGCGGATTCCAAAACAAAGAACTCTATTGCAATTACGTCACTGGTACACGTGATAGCTTACTCTGTTAGCAAAACCCAAAACTGTCTAAACCCAGCTTCGCACATAATACATAACAGCAGGAGTGAATAATAATAGATCAATCTAATTAATTGTATTAATTGTATTAATTAATTGTATTATAATAATAATACAATCTATTACTATTCACTCCTGATAACAGAAACTACTGACTACAGCCGGAGACGCCGCGACGAGAGTAGTACCTTGGCTTTCATGCTCTCGACTCGAGCCTTCAGAATTGGTACGACCTTATTTGGCGGCAAGCCCTTCTCGAGCTGGTAAACGGACTTGGCGTACTTTGTCGTCTCCGCTGTTAGTAACTCGGGGTCGAGTTTTTCAAAGTCGCACTGGTAAAATGTGAAAAAAAATATTAATTAAAACTCGACGGGTTGCGATAAAAACTTATTTTTGACGTTGCAAGCAGGTATACACTTTCCACTTTCCACGATTTATATTTACGTACGTAGCCAGCACACTAATCAATTTCACCGACATCAGCGCATTCAGCGTCATGTACGGGGACGCGACGCAGCGCGTGGCATCGCTCGCTCACCGCACGAGTGTTCGCGCATTGCGCTTACCGCGAAGCACTTCTGCTCAAACTCCTCCAGTAGCAGGTGTCTGTTAGAGGGCGCCTCCAGCACCTCCGCCACGTCGCGACACCACATGATCTGAGAGACGGTCAGCACAATCTGCACACAGAAACAACGAAGACGACATTGTCATCCAGCAGCTCCAAGCAACCTCACACCAGCCAGGGTTTGTGTCAAGCATGCCTTTTACTTAATAACAACATTTACTAATAATTTACTTACTTAATAAATACTTTCACTATAATTACTAATAACTTACTTACTTAATAAATACTTTTACTATACTTACTTAATAAATACTTTTACTATATTTACTAATAACTTACTTACTTCATAAATACTTTTATTATTTACTAATAATTTACTTACTTAATAAATACTTTTTACAATTTACTTAATAAACGATGTAAAACACGTTTTAGTTATGCATGCATAACAAGCCACGATCGTTTAAAAGATTTATACAAAATGGAGATCGATGCTGCTATGGTGAAAGATCAGTTAGGATAAGATATATAGTATGATATATATATATATACATATATAAAGATAGGTAGTATAAAGTTCTAGTGTAATATGCCAGGCTGTGGCAGCTGTAAACACAGCGTTACCTGTCCCGTGTGAAGTGTCACCCACTCCTCGCGCTCTCTCTGCATGAAGTCTGCCATCGCAGTCTTGGTAAGCTTCAGCAGCGAGGAGACCATCATCTCCTCCACCTTACACAGCCACTCTTCCACGTTGCCTCGCGCCTTCAGACCCTAAACAGCGTGAAGCAAACTCAATGAGAAAGTCACGCAGGTGACTAGGCACGCTGGACCAATTTGCAGTTCCTCGTTTTTTCGATGATTAATCCAGCATAACTGTACACTGCACGTATGAAATGTGTACACAAACTAAATATGTACTTCTTTACAAAGCACATACTAGCACAAAGTACTTACAATTACAGTACATACACAAGTTATAAGTACATACTATTACAATGTCTTCTTTTTCTTCTTCTACAACTGCTGAAAAGCCCAGCAGAACTGTTCACTGCACACACAAAATGCGTACACACGCTGAATATGTACTTCTTTACAAAGCACCACATACTAGCACAAAGTACTTACAATTACAGTACATACACAAGTTATAAGTACATACTATTACAAAGTAGTTCTGCTACTTTCTTGCTTCTTGTTCTCTCTACTTACTTACTACTCTTAAAAGTTTTAATCTCCAGTTCCAATTTTTCACCCGTTATTCCGACACAACTAACGCACGCCCTCGAAAGAAACACAACCACGTCACCTTGCCGAACGCTACGCGCTCGCCCTCTGGCGACAGCATTGCGAGGATGTCGTTCGTGTATTTGCCGTCGTCCTGCTGAGCGAAGTCTAGGCTGGAGATGGCGTCGAAGCACTTGCGCAGGTGCGGCTGCACGGCGAGAGGGTTGCGCGTCTGAGAGAGGATCTCCAGCAACTCATCGTTAGAGAGGAAGTAGAATCTGGAAGGGAGGTTGATGGAAGGGAGGGATGTATACACACGATGGAGAAAACCTGTGAGTGGATGTCTTGCCACCTCTTGCTTGTCCCATGTCCTACAACATGTCTTATGTCTATATATCTATGTATGTCTTATATCTATGTAGCCTATCTTGGGTGATACTCCATTAGGAGTGTTCCCAACTTTAATGTCATTAATGGTCATAATAACAAATATATATATATGGTCATGGTCATATATTAGTTTGTGGTTTAATATGTCATTTAGGTTAGGGTTAGGGTTAGGGTTAGGGTTAGGGGTAGGATTATCAATCATTAATCATTAATAATTAATTATTAATGATATCAAAGTTGGGAACACTCCTAATGGAGCGTTAGCCTATATCTTGCAACTCGTTGTTCGACAGTAAGTAGAACCTGGAAGGGAGGTGAATGGAAAAGTGGGATGTATGCACGTGGTGACCGGAACCCTACATTCTCTTGCCTCCTCTTGCTATCTATATCCTACCCACCTCATGATCTGTTTTCAATCTACAGGAAAAAGAATCTCAAAGCATGGCAGATGCTGATGTTTACACAACAGAAACCTACATGCACAGCTCTCCCCGTCTCTTGCTACCTATATCCTACCCACCTTCTTTGTCTCCTGACCTTCTTTCCAACTACAGGCAAGAGAACCTTAGAGCATGGCAGGTGATGTACACATGACAGAAACCTATGTGCACAGCTACCAACATCTCATGCTACTGCCATTATATCTAACAACAGCCTAATATACCTACCTACCAATTTAATCCACTTGCTAAGTGAATCGCATGCTAACTTAAGAGTGCTCGGTAACACAAATAGACAGTTATTGCGCCAACCTGATGCCAGTTTGGAATACCAACTTTTCGAGACAATTAGTGGTGATATAACGTTACATATCGATGGATTTGTACCTGGGAAACACTGTTCTCTTTGATTCCAGATAGTCTTCTAGACATTTCTGTATCTGGTCGAGCAGGATGTTGCTAGTTTTGAACGTGTCCAGTAGACCAGGCTGTGTGGCTGCTCTCATTGCAAGTGGCACCTGTACACACGCAAACACTCATTAGATTAATCGTAATACATACAAATATTATATTATCCAATACGAGATAAGGTACAGATTTAGGTATGCAACTGGCTACTCATACTTGGGTACAGTGCACATCTTAATTGGCTTTATTTATCATTCCTGATAGACGAGTACGGAATGTTCAGACATCTATTGACCAGCAGTAAAATGGGTCTAATAATCAGGGATGAGATTGGGTAATTTAATTTTCAGCTGAAATTTTAATTAGCAAACAGAGGAGCGAGCAATGCGAGGACCGTAGGTCATCGCCATGCTAGGGGGGTCCGGGGGCATGCTCCCCCGCAATTTTTTTAAAAGAATGGTGCAATTTGGTGCATTCTAATTAAGCTATTCTGAACAAATTATAAGAGACTCTTGAATCACCTTTTCAAGTTGTCAAAAGGAACAAACGAACTATAATAGGAAATCAGGGGGCTGAAAATAGGGCAAGTTTTTTTATTAAATGTCTAGACAATGATATTTTTCTGTTTCCACCCGTCGCTTGCATTGTTTTACTCAGACATACAAAGTAGTACACAACTTAATACAAGTTTTTACTGAAAAACAATTTTGTTAAGTTCTATCGATAGTCCACTCTAGATCTCTGGCTCTCTTTTTTAACCAGAATAGTAATGACAACTTATACAGTCTTACCCGTAAAACACATTCTATTCATAATCGATAGACACTATAGGCGATCCTCCTGGCCTTTATCTTTCTTAACAGAAGTATAACAACTTAATGCAGTTTAACTAAAACAATTTATTTCTATCGATTAGTCACTATAACCATCTCTGGGCTCTCTCTTTTTCTTACAGAAGTATAACAACTTAATGCAGTTTAACTAAAAACAATTTAATTCTATTGATTAATCACTAACCATCTCTGGCTCTCTCTTTTCTTACAGAAGTATAACAATTTAATACAGTTTACCTGTACGTAAAAACAATTTATTTCCTACATTGATTTCACTAGCCATCTCCCTGGCTCTCTTTTCCTTACCAGAAAGCCGCAATCTTCTGACCCGGAGCAGATGGGCAGCAAAGTGTGGAAGATGCTGTAGAGGAAAGACACTCGCATAGTCGCGAATCTCCAGCTAGAAAGGCTGCCAAATAGCATCTACCAGAAAGCTCAGAGTAAGATTTCGGAATACAAAGTACTTGCAATGCATAAGAAAATGGCGTTACAAACCTTTTTGCTAAAAACATTTTGCTACAAAAAATGTGCTATCAAATAAGTACAACCAGCCTACATGCTTGTTGCTCTTGTGCGATAAATGCACGCTTCACGTTGCTTGTATTGTAATACTTGTATCGCGTGTGTTTGGATACGAAAAATGTAAAATGATCAATACGTTTTTAGTTGACGTGCCAAGTTCGAATCGCAAGAGGTAACATCGACATGAGCTTGAAGCTCGACACAGCGTGATGTGCACAATCACTGGAGGCCAGTGGACAAACTAGTGGAAGAGTGAACGATGGTAAA